GCCTGAACTCTGGGCCTGGGCGCTGTCCCTCAGCTCTTCAGCTCAAGACTAGCGCTCTACCACTTGAGCCACAGTGCCACTTCCGGCTTTTTTCTGTTTATGTGGTGCTGAGGAATCGAACCCAGGGCCTCATGCATGCAAGGCACGCACTCTACCACTGAGCAACCTTCCCAGCCCTTGTCCATTTTTCTTATTCAAACAAATCCAGAAGTTTTATTTCTATACAAAATCTCCCAGTTTTAAATGTTGGTTCAACAAACATCAATTTTCATATCTGCTATGTGTAGGCTTTGAGCTGACAATCTACTGCAGTGTTGTCTCATTAAAATATTATTCATTTTATGTTATCCTGTAGAAGGGCATGCTATATATAAGGAAAACTCAAGATTATCCTTTTACAGAATCTTATTTCTTCATCTCACAGAATTAAATGCTTAATTTTAGTTTGCATTTTCAAGGAATATACTTCTCCATGTAGCCATTCTGAATGTTAAAACAATACATAGTCAATAAATTGAAAATTTATAGTTCTAGAAATTACATTTATCATTATTCAAAAATCGCTTTGGACATTCTAGCCATTTCAATGGAGAATACAAATATTTTAACTTGGAAGGACTAGGAAATTATACACATTTCACTTGAGTTTACTCAGAACCTATCTAGAGTTTTGAGAGGGAACTTATTTGGCATTATACTGTTGTTTAATGGGTCCTATATTAGTTTTAAAAGTCTCTTCTATTATTATTTTGTAGAACAATCAAGAAAAGTAGAACAATCAGAAAAACCTTTAATTTTCATATTTTAAAAATCAGTGATTGCAGTTTTTCTCCCGAAAGACAGGTATCATTTCTTGAAGCTAAAATCTTGCTTTTGGGAAAAAAAAAACAACTGTCAAGAAACTGTCATTTAAATTTAGCTGTAATGCTTAGTTTGTAAGGAATGGAAAAAATTTCAGTTACTAGCAAAATTCTGTAACATTGCTGAGTCTAAGCTTTCTATCTCTACATTACATGATTAAATAATATAAAATACCATTATGATGTTTTAAGACTATTATTTTCATCAATGCTACTCAATGCATACCTTCTTATTTTCAGAATTTTATTTTCATGGAAATTTATTACATTATACTTACAAGCGCCATCTTCATCGTAGTTACTAAGATCGGCATGGACTGTTCTGCTAAATTCTAACACATTATACCACTGATCTTTGTTCATAACACGGTACTTTGATTGCTGTGGAAGTAACAGATATATATTAACCACAGAACAAACATTACTTCTTTGAGTAACTCTAGTTTAGTGATTTTAGTAACTCTAGTTGTGATTTGTTTTTTCCCAAAATATTTATTTTTCTATCAATTATTTGTGCTTTTGCAGAATGCTCAAAAAGCATTTACACATTAACACCACCTATTTTTCCATTATTTTTCTTTCATTTCTGAGGAATAATGGTAAATACAAAGATTCAACTGGTAAGACTAAAACTCACTTCATTTCACAAATGAGGATATATACCAATGTATATCTTCTACATATAGCTATCTCTATATATCAAAAGACATCTATATATCTTGATATATATAGATGATAGATATAAGATATATATATCTAATTATATAGATATCCTTATCGCTATGAAAAGATATATATCTTATATGTATGATATAGGTATCTATATATATATGTATCAACATATATCCTTATGTGTGAAATATAGTAGGTTGACATATCTATCTACGTATATCATGTAACTACCAACAAAATCAAGATATAGAACACTTACTTTGTATCAATTCCCTATCAATAGTTTCTTGCATGAGCTACATCTTGAGGCTGTTATCTATAGAGGTAGAAGAAAGAATGTAGGCTTGGGTTCAAATCCCACTTGATACTTGTCTGAGTGACAAGGCTATTTAAGAATAGAATCTAAGCCTGGCTTGGTAGTACATGCCTAATCCCAGTACTGTGGAGATTAAAGAAGAATTTTGAGTTAGAGGCCAGGCCTGGACTAGTGAGATATCATTTCAAAAAAAACCTAAACAACAAACAAAAGATGCCACCAAAATTAAGAACAAAACCTAAAAAGACTAAAAAAAGAAAAGGAATATAACCTTTATTCCTCAATTGCTAAATGAGAAAAGTAAAGTGCTTGAAAATGTTTAATTCTTCTCAGCTCCCTTTACAAGTGATTATTTTTACATTTAATCTCTTTTTGGCCAAAACTACTAGTAGGAGAAATGTATGTCACTCACCAATAATACCTACTTTATCAGGCGTACAAGTTTAACTGTGTGCAAAACTCACTCATACAGATCTTTTCATACAAACTTTAAATAAAACCACTCCAAAAAACTCAGTAAAGCAATCAGCTTTGTAGGAAATTATTTCCAAAAGGAAAAGGCATCTTTATTCAAGAAATGGTGAGAGTTGTATCAAAAAACAAATTAAAAGAAATAAAGTTTTTTTTTTCTTTCATACAATTGTTTCTAACATATTTATAAGATGATTTCTATGTTGCTTTGTATGTCCCTCCCCCACGGTATAATCCATGCTTTCACTGTATTTGATGTTGGTGTATTTGTGGAGGGGAAGGGAAAAAACAAATCGTTTAAATAGGGATACAGGTAGACCCATTGCAACAATGACATGTAGAAGTCATTATATCAAAAACCAAACTTTACAACTTTGGTGGGGGGGATAGGGTGGGAGGAGGGGGGAGTATGGGAAGGGATGGGAAGGGGAAACAAAGAGGAGGCAACAATACTTGATAAAAAAAAAAGAAGACATAAAACATATAAAACTAGACAAAGAAAGGAATGGAAAATGGTATCTTCTTAAGACACTCTGCATCTAGTAGATATGTCTTTTAAAAGCATTACCTACTTTATGAATTTCAGCATATTTTTTAAAAATTATCAGTATAGGTAAGCATGCTATTATAGCAGTTCTTATATTTTTGGACATAAAACATTAAAGCCTCATATTGACTCTAAGTAGAAAAGTAGAATTTATTAATCTCATGGGTTCTCTTATATACATTTTAGCCTAGACCCTAGAAGCTTGAGGTTCATGTGCTAGGGTCTGTTATCTCTTGCAATCCTCCCCCAACAATTTATCTTGTATGCGGAATGTCTATGCCAAAAATCTGTTTGTTAGTTCTCTTTTTGAGATCGAGACGTGGGTAAAAATATTTTTTCTTCTTTCAATGGGATACTGAGGATTGAACCGAGGGCCTAAAACATGCTAAGCACATACTCTATTCTGAGCTACCTAAGTAGTCCAAAAATATCTTACCAGAAGAACATATCAAATAACAAATTCACACCTAAAACACCAAGATATACATACATTTTTGAAGAATTTTATCACTAACAAGCAGATTTATGTGTGTATGTGTGTGTGGTACTCTAGAATCTTGCCTTGCTCAAACCAAAAAAGCCATGCCTCCAGTCCTTTTCAGTTTGTTTTTCAAATAGGATCTCATGCTTTTTTTTTCTTTCCTTTTTTTGGCCCAGTGCTGCCTCAGACCATGATATCTCCATTTCTTCCTCCAGCCCAGTTGGGATTACAGGCCTTGCCTCAAGCTGCTTTTTATTCTTTTCTTTTTTAAAGAATAGTATTAAAAAATCCATTGTGCCTCAATTAAAAATATTTTTTCAATCAAATTAAGTACTAAAACATTAAAACAAAACACACATACCTCCAGGTACTGGTAAAATACTGAAAAGAGTGGCCATGTTCTCCCAAGCAGAAGGGCTAACATAGACTTAGCAGTATCAATATCAAGGCTCCTCTGATCTTTATCCTGAAATGAAGTAAGAAACTTTCCTAAGTATGGTCTGAAGATAAAAAACCATGGCAATGACTAAACACGGAAATTGCACCTACCCTTGCAAAATCAAAGGCATATCTGTATATATTCTTAAACGATGAAATATCATTCAACTGTGAGCGCAAAAAGTCAAATTTGTTCTGTAACTTTTCTGTGCAGTCACACCTTAAATTAAAAAAAATATAATCAAGAAAATTAAGTTAAGGCATTCTAAAAAAATGAATTAAGAAAAAAACTAGTGCATTATACAGTTAATTTAGATTTAAAATCCCGATTCAAATTTAAAATAACAAACTTGCTGTTTTGAATCTTCCATTCAGTAACAAAAGAAACCAAGAAAAATCTGCCTGAATTGACTGGAAGTTCATGCCAATAATTCTTTACAAGGGAAAAAAAAAACTCCACAAAATTCAAAGTATCCAATAGAATCATAAATATCTCTTGGATTGATGGCAGAAATCAGTGTGCAGAGTTTGACTAACATGTGTGAGGTCCTGTCTTTTATCCCCTGCACTGCCAAAAATAAGCCCCCAAACCCAAACACTCCAAATCAGAGTAACTCTTAAAAGATGTATTAAAATGTGATTTTACCACAAGTGGGGAAAAAAATAAAGAGCAGAGCAAATTAAATCAGGCCTCTGTCAAATTTCCGTTGGATGTTCTTAAGTAATAGCTTGGTAAAAGAAATTAGTGGGTTTAAAGGTTTAGGATACAACTCAGAGGAAATTAATACCTGGAGTCATAAGTCCACATTCCCTCATTTTTAGTTTAAAAGGTCTAAATCAATCATAGAAGCACCTAACTTTAGACATGCATAGTAACTAAATCAACAGAATGCTCTTCAATCTTGACTGGATTTCTCTCACTGGGTCAGTAGGTTTTACTATATAAAGCAAGAAGCAAAGCAAAAAAAAAAAACCCCAAAATCCTCACAATTTGTCATAAACCTGTAGTCTCACCCTCATCCATAGATAGCATATGCAAAACAAACATGAGAAGGCTCTGATTGGTGAAGACCAGCGGAATGACATGACGGTGAATACTACCATTTTGGGGAGGCAGAGTAAGAAGGATCACAAGTGCAGTCAGCCTAGCCTAGCTACAAAGGAATCGAGGCCTGGTAAATTAAATAGAGACTATTTCAGAATCAAATCAAGCACCAGGGAAGGGTTGCAGCTGACACTGAGCTGTTGCTTAGCATGCATAAGGTCCTACTATTGATCCCCAGCACCACAGAGAAACACACTCTATTCCAGTTAAGCGTAACTGTGGTCCAAATCCCACCAATGCCACTAAAGCTTAAATGGGGACCTAAAATGTCCACCTTCCTGTTTCTCTCAAATCCAGCAGTATAACAGAAACCACAAGGGAAACATGAATTCATTATAACCCACCGGTGCCCTCTGGTGCTCAGCTACATGTTTAGTAGTTTTTATAGACTTCAAAGCAATTGTCATAAAAATGCTCTAACAAGCAAATAAGAACCCACCAGCTGGCTGCTGGTGGCTCACACCTTTAATCCTAGCTACTCAGGAGGGTGAGATCTGATGATCCTGCCAGCCTGGGCAGAAAAGTCTATGAGACTCTCATCTTCAATTAACTACCAAAATAAGCTGTAAGTAGAGTTGTGGCTCAAGTGGTAGAGTGCTAGATTTGAGCACAGAAGCTGAGAGTTCAAGCTCTGGGACTGGCAAACAAAAAGCCCCAAAACAAATGAAAAGACAAAAGTGTAAGCAAAGAAAGAGAAATCTAAGAAAGGAAATATGAATTCAAACTAAATAGAGGGGCTGGAAAGGTGGCTGAGTGGTAGAATGCTTGCCTTGCATGCATGAGGCCCTGGGTTCAATTCCTCAGAACCACATAAGCAGAAAAAGCCAGAAGTGGTGCTCTGGCTCAAATGGTAGAGCACTAGCCTTGAGCTAAAGAACTGAGGGACAGCACCCAGGCCCAGAATTTAGGCCCCACAACCAGTCAAAAAAAAAAAAAAAACTAACTAACTAACTAAAAATCTTCAAACTGCAAAGGGTAGATTTATATCCTAACATTAACCATCATGAGACATAAATGGTCTAAGTATCAATTAGAAATGACAAGAGTGGATTAAAAGAAAACAAACCATAATCTAGGTTTAGGTGTGGTGACAAATGGAATTTTAGTTATTCCCAACTATTTACAAGGCAGAGAGTAGGAAGACTGAAGTTTGAGGCTAGACCAGTCAAAAGGTAGAAAGACTCCCATTTCAACCAACCCGGGCTGTAGCTATGCAAGAGGCATAGGATGGATCTCGGTTTGAGAAACGTAAGACAACACACATACAAAAAACTGATCTAACTATTTTATGATTAGAGGAGCATAACTTTTCAAAATATAAGCTATAAGCAAGCAAGGTAAAATAACTAAAAAATAACATGTAATGAAACAATCTCAAGAAAGCAATAGGACCTATTTTAATATTAGCTAACATAAACTTTAAAGCAATGTGTGAAATTCTTAGTGGGTCTTTAGCTTAATTACGTTTCTTTTCAAACAAAGGGATTAAAAGTCACCTTTACTACTTACTTCTGTCCAAACTATATTCTATTCTTTTTTTTTTTGGTTGGTCATGGGGCTTGAACTCTGGGTTTGGGTGCTATCCCAGAGCTCTTCAGCTCAAGGCAAGTGCTCTACCACTTGAGCCACCGCACCACTTCCAGTTTTCTGGTGGTTAATTGGAGATAAGAGTCTCACAGACTTTTCTGCCCAGGCTGGCTTTGAACTGTGATCCTCAGATCTCAGCCTCCTCAGTAGCTAGGATTACAGGCGTGAGCTACCAGCGCCTGGCTATATTCTATTCTAAATTACAAATTGTAAATGTTGAGCAGGAAAAAAAATCTAGAAGAACTGAGTGGAAGAGTAAGAGCACAAACTTCTACAACTACAAGTGTCCTATGGCCTTGCAAAAGCTAGATAACATACTGCAAGGAGTTGCTAACATCAGCACATGTTTAGGTACCAAATAAATAGTTCCAAGGGTCTGTATCTCAGGACTTGGAAAGTTTAGAAATACTTCCTTTAAGGAGAAATGAGTTTTAAGTAGTTTATCATGGGAAGCAAGATCATTTTTAAGAACAGCCAAATAAAACCGTTATGTTTAGAATGAGAACAAAACTTTCAATTTCAGAAATTAACTTTCTGATGTTAACCATCTGATTATAGAAGGCGGCTTCTGGATTTCTGCTTATTTAAGATCTGTAGAACAAGCTGTTTTGGTTCTTGGGACTGAACTTAGGCAAATGCTCTATCACTAGAGCCACATCTCCAGTCTTGAGGAAGGCCTCTTTTGTATAACAGACCTAAGTGAGGTTCTCTTCTAATGAGTGAATTTTGATAAATACGCTGTGACAAATAAAGGCATGGCAAAGAGCTTTATCCCACAATATTAGGTTTAGAATTTTCAATCGGCTTTACCAACTACAGAAATTCGGTCTACTTGTAAGAGTATCTGAAAATAGCCAGAGCATCTTGAAACTGTCATGTTTAACCTAGGGAACAGGAGAGATGGAAAAGTGAGGAATGCTAATTGCAGTTTCTTGGGTACCAAAAGAATGACAGTTACATACCACACCCACCATAGCATCTCAGCTACCCTACTACTTCTGCTCCACTAAAAATGAACAAATGAAAAAAGTATTCCTTTCCTTTAATTCAAAACAACTCATTCCCTTTTTTCCTCCAAAGTCCAGGGTTACCCCAGTGCTGGTGGCTCACACCTGTAATCCTAGCTACTCAGGAGGCTGAGATCTCAGAATCAAAGTTCAAAGCCAGCCTAGGCAGGAAAAACCATGAGACTCTTATCTCCAATCAACTGCCAGACAACCAGAAATGGCCCTGTGGCTATAAGTGCTAGAGAGCAAAAAGAGCTCAGTGACAGGGGCTGGGAAGGTGGCTCAGTGGTAGAGCACTTGCCTTGCATGCCTGAGGCCCTGGGTTCGATTTCTCAGCACCACATAAGCAAAAAGAAAAACAGCCAGAAGTGGTGCTGTGGCTTAAGTGGTGGAGTGCTAGCCTTGAGCGAGGGACAGCGCCCAGGCCCAGAGTTCAGGCCCCACGTCCGGACCCAAAATTTAAAAAAAAAAAAAAAAGAGCTCAGTGACAGTGCCCATGCCCAGAGTTCAAGCCCCGTAACTGGCAAACAAAAAACAAAACAAAACCAAACAAGCAATAAACCCTCCAGGGTTCAATATGAAGCCCAGAAAATGTGCTACCTGCACCCTCCTGGCAGGCAACTTTGTTCTACCACTATTGTCAGATGCTACCTGCATGCTTATTTCATTATCATAGTCAAGTAAGTACAGGCCTCTTCAAAGGGTTGCAGCTCTTTGAAAACCAGTTTTTTTCCACCAGCATAGGTAGTATTGCTTCAACACCAAACTTGTAGCTAGCAGTTCAGAAAGTTTTTTACCCTAGTATAGCATGTCATGATAAAACTTTCAAGTATCCTTGGAATTTTGTAGATGGAAGAATATAATATAGGCAAAATTTGGTGTATAATAAGTACATCTTAATAGGTACAAGGTCCAGACTGCATAACATTCTCAGAAGACTATGACTTTAAAACATGAAGAACAATTGCTCAGTGACAATGATTCCCAAAATCTTTGATTCATTCTTGTGCTCAAAAATCTGATATCATTTCAGCTGGATACAGTGGCTCATGTTGATAATCCTTGCTATTCAGGAGGCTGATTTAGAGGATGGTGAATCAGAGTCTAGAAGAAATGTCTGCTAGGTTTCATCTCCAAAATAAATCAACAAAAGGCAGGGCTAGAGGCATGGCTTAAGGGTAGAGCTCCAGCCTAGCAAGCACATGCTAACAAGCATGAGATCTTAAGTTCAAACACCAGTCCAAGCCTGGTGCTGATGGCTCACACCTGTAATCCTAGCTACTCAGGAAGCTGAGATCTGAGGATCTTGGTTCAAAGCCAGCCCGGGCAGGAAAGTTCATGAGACTCTTATCTCCAATAAACGGCTAGAAAACCGGAAGTGGTGCTGTGGCTCAAGTGGTAGAGTGCTGGCCTTGAGCTGAAGAGCACAAGGACAGCGCCCAAGCCCAAAGTTCAAGCCCCACGACCGACAAAACAAAACACCAGTCCAAATATATTATATATATATATATACATATATACACATATATATATGTATACATATTTGGAAAGGAGAATATAGACTTTTATCACCTTATATAAAATTAAGAATATTAAATACCTATCAATTTTTAAAATTTATGCATAAAGATCACTTTTTGTCCCTTGGTTTCAATTTCAAACTTCATGCTACTTAATTCTTGCAAATTTATCACAGGGACATTCAGAGAGTAATAGGTCTTGGCCAATTGAAGAAAAATACTTTGTACTCACATAGCAATCTAGCAATCTAGCTCATGGGGGAAAAAAATCAACTGCTTTTCCACCTCAGAATGCATACTTGAGTACTTTCAAAGCTCTGTGGCGTATTGTTCTAGGCAAATGGGAAAGGAATGATAAACAAGTGACAAAGTTCCTAGGCATTTTACATAGTGAATAATTTACTTTTATTTTAGATAGCCTGTGAAATTCCTATAGCAAATGTATGCTTTAATATAAAAGTAAGCTCAGTGGCTTGGTTACTTATGTTGAAGACCACATGCTAAATATTCAGGAGTAAAAACAAGTTTTTTTGTTTACACATTTTAATTATAGAAGGGCACTTTATATCAACTTATGCAAAAGCATCAACAGTAAGGAACCCTCCCCGCCACCCAGGGTAGGGAGGGGCCCCTTGGGACTTGAACTCTGGATATGGGTGCTGTCCCTTAGCTTTGTGCTGAAGACTAGTGCTCTACCACTTGAGCCACAGCTCCACTTCCAGTTCTTTTGTGGCTAATTAGAGACAGTCTCAAGGATTTTTCCTGGCTAGGCTGGCTTTGAACAGTGATCCTCAGATCTCAAACCTCTGTGTAGATAGGAATGCAAGTGTGAGCCACCAACACCTGGCCAGAACTTTTGTTTTTAAAATACAAAACCATCCATGAGATGGGATACTATAAAAAAGCAGTATGCAAAAAATAGAAATAACTAGAGCACATATGTCAAATATAATATTTTAGATTCAGTAAGCCAGGTTACACATAACAATTTAAATAGAAACCAGCTTATTATTTCTTTGTATAATGTTTGTACATGTAACTTTATTTTCTCTAAAATGGTAACTAAATGTAGGAAATTGCCCAAATAATTTCAGGATTAGTACATTTAATGGGTATATTATGATACCTAAGTATATGACTGAAATCATTCTTGGTGTTTACAAATACTGTAATTTAAAAAGTAATGATTTTGAAAAGAACCTAATTTATCTATTAGAGAATAGTATGATAGAAGTGTGGTGGCAGACTGGTAATCAAGGAATTTAAATTTTAGATCCTAACTCTGCTGTTAAGAAACTGTGTAAACTCTGCCAAATATTTTCTTAACTTAGTTGAAGCTCAGATTGCTCATTTACAAATAATGGAAAGTTTGATTTTATGTTCCATTGCAAAAATTATGATTTGGTTCAGCTGAGGAAAAGTTTTTAGTCAAGAAAAAGAATATGAAATATCCATGTTAATGCTAGTCTAAAAAGACAAACATGCATTAGATAATGGAAATTCAAATGTAACAGAAAATTTTGAAGGGCAGATAAATAAGGATTAACAGTATTTAAGCATATTAATAAAAGCATAACAACAAGAAATCATTGCTAATAATACTCAGTTCCTGACTTAAAGATAATATAAATTAGAGCTGAGGATGTAGCTAAGTAGTAGAGCACTTGCCTGGCCTGTGCAATTCTGTGTTTAATTCCAGGCACCTCAAAACAAACAAGCATGCCAACAAAAAAATATTATAAACTGACAATTCCTCAGCTTTAGAATGTTGACTATAACATCCGAATTACTATTAAGAACTGACATAAAGTTTCCACAAACTACTAATTGATTGTGAAATTAAACACTCAATCTTAGAAAAACAAAATTAAATTGTTTTAATAGGAAAACAATTCTATAATTTGCAAAATATTCAGATCGCTCTAAACTCAAGATATGCAAATATTAAATGGCTACCTGGGAACTACAGAACATCACTAGTTTTATTTTTTTATAGGTTCTTGGCAAAAAAAAGAATATCTTAAAAGAGTCATGTTACGGAGCTGGGAATATGGCTTAGTGGTAGAGTGCTTGCCTAGTATGCATGAAGCCCTGGGTTCTATTCCTCAATACCACATAAACAGAAAAAGCTTGAAGTGGCACTGTGGCTCAAGTAGTAGAGTGCTAGGAACAAAAGCAGGTCAGGGACAGTGCCCAGGCCTTGAGTGAAAGCCCCAGGACTGGCAAAAAAAAAAAAAGAAAAAAGTCATGTCATGTAAATGTAACTAAAAAAAAAAAAAAAAAGTCATGTAATGCTATCTTCAAATTTATTAGAGAAGAGAGGAGGCCCTATATCGTAGGACTATCAACATACTTCATATGGTGGAGTTTGTAATTCAGAATGTGAAAGCCTGGAAAACCTTTATTACTCATCCTGTGAACAAATAACTTTGATCAAAGACTTGTAATGTACTCAGGAAAATCAACAAGTTTTAATTAGACTGCACTGAAGTTCTTTCCTTAAAGAGTATGAAAACTGGGTTCACTACTCACTTGTCAAACCCACAATTCCCACACTGTTATAAATCAAACCAACTGAAAATGATGAAGCACAAAATACCAATAAGATCTTCAAATAGGCTATCAAATTTGTTTTTTAAAAAATTTTCTTACTGTAATGAAGTCATTCCCTTTAACCATTCTTCCTTGGTAAAAAATCCCATGCTTTCAGCCTCCAATTTCCACGCTAAAACTAACATAATAATCTGGAAAGAACAGAACATAAAGGATAGGGGAAAAGTCAGCATAGAGATAATCATGGCTATATTTTATCATGGAGAGTATTTATATATAACTATTTCAAACCTCCAACTATTAATGAGAACAATCGCTGGGGATTATTAACTATAAAGAAACTGAAAGGTGCCAGACAATTTCTTAAAAGTAGAAATTTCTAATCGTTTATGAAGGTAGAATCTCTCTTACTCTATTATAAATGACATTTGTATTGAGAACATTTGCCCAGTTTAAGCAGATTAAAAGTATCTTAAGTGCAAATTTACAACATTAAATATGAGTAAATCTTCATGTAAGATTAAAATCTCAATTTTTAGAAATTTATGAATATGATATACCCCACTTATATTCCATTCTATTTAGAAATAAAACATACATTTTCAGGTTCAACACCAATGTCTTCACAAAATTTTTCCATTCCTTCTGGCCCTACAACTTCATCAGGACCTTCAAAAACAAAAACGTAATTTATATATTTTAGAATAATTGAATATTAACATAAAGCAGACTATTATGCTAAGGTCATCCATAAATACAATATAATAATTTACAAGTAACTGAATTTGAATTTGGCATAGCATTAATATTTGGCACGTGATTTAGAATTTAAAACTTGTAAAATATTTTTTGAATACATCACAATATGAAGACATTTTAAAAGTAGTAAAGAAATGCTCCACTAATATCTATTACTAGTTTGTTGAAAAATTTAAAGATCCACTAGCAAAACATTTCCTCAAGTTTTTCTTTACATAGGCTTTGTATATAGTTGATTTTATAGTCATGAGCTAATCAGAAATACTGTCTGTACTGAACATACACAAATTTGTTTTCATCATTATGAAAACATCTACATCACATTATATTACATTAGGCATCATAAGCAATCTAGGGATGATAGATATAGAGTATACAGTAGGATATGCATGGGTTAAATGCAAATACTAACCCATATTATATAAGGGACTTCAGTACCCTAAAATTTTGCTGTGTGCAGAGCAGAACAGAGCTATTACATGGGACAGTTACTACCACTGATTTCTCTTTCTTCAAATTCTATTTCTGAATTAACATCACAGGTAATATTAGGGAGTTCGTTGTATCTATCATTGAATTCTCTTGTTCATTTAAGTATTACTTAAGAATAATAGGTCTTAGCAGAGCGTCAGTGGTTCAAGTCTGTAATCCTAGCTACTCAGGAGGCTAAGATCTAAGGATTACAGTTCAAAGCCAGCCCAGCAAGGAAAAAGTCCATTAGACTCCTATCTCCAATTAACCACAAGAATGCCGGAAGTGGTGCTATGGCTCAAAGCGGGAAAGTGCTAGCCTTAAGCAAGTAAGTTCAGGGGCAGCACTGAGGCCTTGAATTCAAGCTCTGTGAACAACAACAATAACAACAAAAGTAGCAGGTCTCTTGAAAGAGAAAAATGAACAGTTTATTACATATGACTTACAGCAGGATATTTTCAAAATTATAAGAATTATAAGAATTATGTACTTTTGCCTTCCCAATTTCTTTATAACCACAAAGAAATGTTTCTAGCTATATACACGGGTCTAATACCATGTCAGCCATAAAAAAATACTGGGGAAAACAAAAAAACAGAAATTGCTGTGACACAGTGCCTTTGTCAGTAGTAGTTAAATTTTGGAACAACATAAAATATAGGTTGTAGATTCTAATAACTGAGTTGTATGCATACACACACACACAAGGTACTATGCTAAGTGCTTTATATCTATGAGCCTCAATGAAAGACACCCACATATTAAGACAGAAAAATTATTATTTATTTAACAACTGATTCTCCTCTATTAGGAAGGTTTCTGCCTAGATAGTCTCTATAGAGGTCTTACCTGATTACTCTTAACTGAAATTTTATCCAACGCTTCCTTATATTCTATTCCTGAACCTCCTCTTGTTCACCTGCATGACTCTCCACAATCTGCAGCTACCTTGCCTACATCCCTGTTCACTATCTACCTTTCTCACTAGAAGCCAAGAATCCTAAAGGAAGAGATCATGTTGCATTCTTCAATATTATATCTCAAGCACTCAGCAGTGTCTGACTCACAAACAAGTGCTAAATATTTACTGAATGAATCACTGAATGACAGAGAACCTTAACTGTGTTTATTAGTATTTTTCTGTAAAAGTGAAAATTAGTTGCTATTTCCATAGCAGTGTACACATTTATGTGAAAAAAAAAAGCCCTAAACATGAGTCAACAGTAATGCAAAGCATGGTTGGAACTGACTGGGGTTTCAATCCTGGCTCTTGGGATTGTATGGCCTTGGGCAAATTACTCAATTTATCATCAGTTTTCTCATTCATAAAATGAGGATGGTGTCACTTATTTAACAGAAAAGTCACAAGGAAAAAAATGATATACTTAGCACAATTCTTAAAATAATGACAGCAATTAATATGGTGACTATTGAAATGCTGATAATGTTTAACCCCTAGGAATTTATGATAACCAGGAAAGTTCCAAGTAGAGCTACAACATGTAAGCATAAAAGAAAAAAAATGTACTAGTTATTTTTATGGTACTTAGTACTTTTTATATATTAAGTAACATAGTGATCCTTAGATTGCATAGCATGTATGTCAGTAAAACTGGCATTTAAGATAATGGGTCATCAACTTAAATGGAGGTCAGTAAGAAATGAATTTCCTTCAACTAAATTGGGTTAGTGGTTGTCTTGGGATGCCAGTAATAGCATTCTTTTTTTTTTTTTCTTGGTCTAGAATAAATCTGCTGAACAATTTTTAAATTATACTTCTGGGACCATTTGGCTGCTCTCAACAGCAAAGTCGATGCCCCTTTTCAGTCTTACTTCCCACACAGTTAGGCTAAACTTAACTTCAAATTCAAATTTGAATTTGAAATGAAAAGATCTTAGACCTTAACATGGATTTGTACTAAATATAAGGCATTAAGTATCTACTTGCCTTTATTTTAAATAAAGACTGTGAGAATGACAATAAGGGGAAAAAATTAAATAAAAGCAGAGAAAGTAAGCAAAAGGAACAGGGAAGACCCCCGCCTTCCAAAAAAAGTTACTTTAAAATCACTAACTCCAAAAGACATGTGACTAGTTTAAAGGAGAAAAACTTAAATATATGAAAAAGTAATAATAAGGGAAACAAGTATCTTTTTATGTATTTATCTAACTCTTCAGCCTCAGCTAGCTTAGACTTTCACCTCTATGATATGGTCTGACTTGGTCCTATGGGTTTCCATCTATCACTTACAGGACTTAGCTCAGGTTAGTTCACTACTCCAAAAAGGTTCACTTGATACTTTCAGGGCTGGGTTATGTATTACTCCTATCAAATTCTACACTGTATTAATATTAGTCTATTTACTTTCTTACTTTTTATTATATCTGGAGTAATTGTAAATGGCTACATAATAACCATTAATGGTACAAGCACTGCAGGAGGATGTATGTAAGGTTTAAATCTTTGGCTGTCTCCCCACATTTCAGAAAATATTAGACTCTAGACCAGGAAAAAATTATAAAAACAAAGAATATTACAAAACAAATTTTAGGCAGCTTTTGTTTCCCAAAAAGATTTTTGTTAGCCAATGGGTATTAATTAGTAAGTGAACTTGTCTGGGTGTGCATACTAACAGTAAGAGTTTCTTCTTCTCCTATATATTTAAATATGTGTCAGCCTTAAATGGTACCAAATAGCCACGATTTTTAGATCTGACTTTGTCCCAACAAATAGCACTACAACACAGCAGTCCTGCAATAAATAATGTTAGCTAAGCAAACAAACAAACATTTTTCAAGCAAATGACTGATGTCTTCTTACATTAATTTCATTACCTGCATACTCATAAAACCAAGCCAGGCACTTCTTTCTTGAAAAAACTTCCTCTCCACTTATTAGTCTAGCAGGGGGTTGGGGTCTGCAATAGCTTAGAAAACACAGAAATGCTTAAGATGTTTATTAAGTTCAACTCTTAGTGAAACATAAGAACTAGTTCAATTCAAATGAAACAGTAAGTTGGCATTATCAGGAAAAAATCGAGTTAAATATTTGCTACTTGAAAAAGTAGTTTATACCTAAGAAGTTCTAACAAAACCCAGATTCCAAAATTCCAAAACATAACCAAATTTACTTCCCAGATTTCAAGACTATACAGAAAGTCCAGCCTAAGTCTCCATGAAAAACTGGATATGTATAAATCTTTGTGATTCTGCTACTGACTTACATGGAAATTGTTCTGTATAAATTACATATATTTGAAAACAATGTCTTAGAAAATGTATTATGATACTTCAATATTTCAAAATAAAATGTTACATTAAGAGTTGCTTACTACCTATTAAACAGATTTTTAAAAGATAAATGACAAGTTGGCACTTGAAGGCATTTTAAATTCCAAAGATTAAAACAGCAAAATCACTACAACAAAAGTCTCAAAGAATACTCCAAATAATTAGGTCAAAGCTATTTCATGCCAGATCTTTTTTCATAAAATTGTTAAAAGTTGGAACGTTAAAAATTGGCCCCTAGGATTTACTGGGCTTCAAAAAACATTTTCTCAAGAAACTCAAATAAGGAGATGAAGCTCACTGACACAGGAAATACTTAAATTTCGGCCCCAGATTAATGGAATGTAAAATGACGCAAAATTTTAAATCTCAACTGATTTGAGTTCTAATATTGCCTTATCCGCTATTTTAAGATGTTTTAATTTTGAGACGGTATATACCTATGATGTATGCCTGAAATCTCACTTGGTAGTCTGCCTGGGCTACATAGCAAGACTGTGACTTAACCCCTTCCCCCCAAAAGAGAAAATAACCCCAAACTCTAATTTGCCTATGTCTCATAAAATATGAGCAGATATAGTAACCAGGTCAAAACTACCAAGTGGCATGAGGAAAGTGTATCACATTTATGGCCCTAGAAGGATTCCTTCAGCTCTTCTGCCAAAGCATACCAATGAAAGAAAAAAACGAAAAGGAAGATAAAACTATACAATAGGTCCCCTCTTTCACATTTTAAATGGGAGATCTCTCTTTAAGGATAGCCCTATTATTACTTCCTCGTTAAAATGGTGGCTACGGTCTTGTTTCAATGGTAGTATCTGAAGTGGACAACCACTAATATGCAAACACCAAAGGCCGTGGGGGGGGCCCATTTCCCACACCTAAACTGCAAGGCCTTTTCACAGCATTCAAATGTTTCTGATGCCTGAATGACATGCAACTACAGTTTTGCTTTGTCTCCTTTTTCTCCAAGGGAAAGCAGTACAATAGCTGCTCAAGTTATTAATACTTAGGACTGAGTTACGAGGCTGAAACACAAAAGCACTCGGGGTCTTTCCAACTCCCCACACTGGGAACTGGAAGAGGTGCAGGCACTTGTCCTTCCAGAAAATAGGTTCCAGCAATTTAAAAGGCCTCCTGCCGGTGGAGGAGGGAGGGAGGGAGGGAAGGTGGGGGGAAGGGAGAGGGAGATCGTCCAGTTCGGGGCCACAGTAAATACTCAACTCTGGACGCCAATTAGCTTAGTTTTCCTTTTCTACCATTCCCAAGGCGGTAGTTAAGATTCCGCAGGCTCCGCTCCTTTCTTCACATTCTACAAAGAGGTTCTAGAAGTGACCCTACCCGCAGGTCCGGCCGGGGCTCACTCCTAGGTTTGGGGGTGGGGGAGGGGACGGGAGGGAAGGGAAGGGGGGCCGAGCGCAGTTCGCACCGGCACGTCGTTCTTCCCACCCTCCCGGGCCCGCGGGCTGCGAGGTGGGGGGGCCTGCCGCAGCTCGTCCGCCGACGGGCGGGCACACGTGCCAACACCGGGGCGGGCTCGGGGTCCACGCCGAGCGCCCCGGGGGTCCGCCGCGGGCCCTCCCCGCCCCCCGCTTCCACGCCCGTCCCCCCCACCCCGGCAGGGGGAGGGAGGCGGTACCTGGAGATTTTACACTTCTTGAGGCCTCCGTCCTCCGCCACGGCGGCTGACACCCCGGAGGCTTTTCTCTTCTTCTTCACCGGCATCTTCCTCCACCCTCCCCCGGCAGGGTGGGCGGGGGAGCCGGGGAAGGGGGTCGCGGTCGGGAGGGGGCCCCCTCGGCGCCGGCACCCACTCCCCCGACACAGCAGCAAGCCGAGGGACAGGGTCGCCAGTGCACTCCGGCGCGGGCCGCGGCTGCTTCCCAGGTCTCCTCGGCCCCGGACGCGGGCTGGGCTCTCCGCTCGGCGGCCACCACAGGGAAATAACGCGGACAGCGCGGCACCTCCACTAGGCACTGAGAGCCGGAGGCTCAGCCTGACCCGGAAGTCGATGCCCGGGGCCGGAAGTGACGCGAGCGAAGGGGCGGTCGCGGGAAGCCGCCGGGTGTGTGGGACCGGCGTCTGCGTCAGGCCGGGCGGAGGACGACGCTGACCCCGCAAGTCCAGGCCCGGGGCCGGCGACACCCTGCGGGATCCGGTCCGGAGCAGCCAGGCCCTGTGACGCTTTTGCCCCTGGCTTTACAGGTAGTCACCACTGCGAGAGGCGTTGGGAGACCCTCGTGCTCTGCAGACTGTAGGTCTCTCCGTGCTACCTGTGAAATACATTGTCCCGTGTCTTTACTTCCGCGTGTGCGCGTGCGTGCCGTGCTGGCTCGGGCGCTGCCCCGGAGCCTTTGCACTCCAGCATCGCGCTCTACCCCTTGAGTGAGTCGCAGCTCCACTTCCGGCTTCTTGAAGTTCTTTGGACATTTCACTTTCTCGTGTGAGCCTCGTGGACTTTCCTGCCCGGACCGGCATGGAGCCAGGATTCCCAGATCTCAGCCTCCTGGGTCCCCAGGCGTGAGCCACTGGCACTTAGGTCACGTTTTGTTCTTCATAGTCCGAAGCCAGCTTCTCATTCATCCATCCTTAGTTCTCCCTCGTGCCCCACCTCTCCTCATGTCCTTCTCGAATACTGAAACCTAAACGTTACCATTCTTTTCATAGTTCACTTCTCAGATAAGAGATGGGGGTACTACCTGACTTAGTAGAGAGGGAATTTGGGGTCAGTTTTAAAGGTCTAGGCTTTCACTTTCTAAACTCCTCCATCTCAGTAGACATTGTTTATAAATAAGGATTACTGTCTGTAAAGATCATCTATCAAAAGGTGATTATAACTACATAATAATATAAGAATAATCTTTGCAAACCAAACTGATGGCAGAAGGCTGAACGTTTCTTTTAAATTCAGAAACAGTCCATGTTGCTCTGGTGAGATTGCCTCCTCTATGGCAGGCTAATCTATCCAATCAGAGTATCATATTTCTTTAGTGCTGTTAATTGACTCAGGATGGATGCTTGGTCCAAGCCAGGACAAGGAGTGCTAGTGACAAGTTGAGCTACTTATTTCCCATGGACTTGAACCTGAGAAGATGTTGGGAATGAAGCCAAAATTCAGAGCAGAATCAAGTAAAAAGACAGAAGAACCAAGATATGATTATGTGATATGTCCTGAATTCATGCTATCCCCTGGAATTTTCAGTTGAGCCAATGAATTAACTATTTTGCCTAAGTAAACTCTGTTGAAACAAACAAAAATCAACCTAATTAAAAATTCAGGAGGCCCTAAAAGTAGACAATCATATCAAGTCTTAATAGAGCTATCTACAGAAAGTAGAGGACAGGAATATGTTAAATACACAAAATATAGTATATCAATCTATAGGACAAATGACTCTGATTCTGCAACAAATTGCTACAGAGAGAAGAGAGAAAGAATTTAGAAGGGATTTGAAAAGTATATTAATAATTTTCCTTATAGAAACAAGGATCAAATCCAGAGCTGTATGAATACCAGTCAAGCACTTTCTCATTGATCTATAACCCCGGCCTTGATCATTTTCAGTATGATTCTTATTTAAGTTTCTATTCAAACATTTTAAACACTACCATGATGTTGTGCAACTGGGATTCTTAACACTAGCTCGATATTAGAAATAATTCTAGAACATGTAAAACTTATCTATAATGAAAGCATATCCATGACACTTGGGACTGGTACAAAGGTTAAGTTTCAGGGGCAGACTGCAAGGAAGTTCAGGGGCTTTTTGGATAACAGACTATTCTATGATTGAAGTGGTGGTATAGATACTTGTCAGAATTCTTACTAAGATGTAGATAACACATCATTTCATTTTCATTAAAAAGAAACACACTATTGCAGAACACCTGTGCTATGCCCCCCCACCCTGCACCCCATTTCCAGATCTAAAGAAACATTCAGTAATATTAGTAATTTTATCTTCTATCTTACCCTTTCATTGTAATAAGGCACGTAAAAACCTTCACAACTAGAAAATAGCTATCTGTAATGACTAGACATAATGCTTATATTGAATAGGGAAGTACGCTAAGGGCTGACACATAGGACTGGCATTTTGGTCACACATCTTTTGGCTTTTGTAAATTATAGAACAAAATTATGGAAAGGGTATTTTAAAGGTTATAGCTGTATTGGGGTGTCCAAAAATAGTCCCTTAAGGTATGTTCTATACATAGTTTTTTTTTCCTTAATACTTTTAAATGAGAATTCCCCGCCCCTCCCCCACTTGCCAGAAAAACAAATAATGCAGATATTAAAGGATTTGTGGGAAACAACATTATTTGGCCCTAGATCTTTACATCTTTTTTTACTTCAGTTATTTTTCAGATAGCGACAGAGAAAGCTAAGAGGGCTTGGATCCTCCTACCTTTGCGTTTTGATTAGTTGGAACAGCAATTGTGCATCGTCATGCCCAGCTCATTATTTAGACAAGATCTGATTTCTTTGCCAAGGCTGGCCTCAAACCTCAATCCTTCTGTCTCCCCTGGGATTATAGACATGTAGCTGACATCTGCGCTCACTTTTGTTTTTAAACAAGCCCACTCTTGGCAATAACTAACCCACTGCAGTGATAGTGATACTAATCAGTTTGCCTTGATGACCTAACCATTTCTTTTGAAGCTCTACCTCCTATCACTATGGGTTGGGATTATATTTCCAACATGAATTTGGGTCACACATTCAAACCATAGCACATATTAAAAAAGTGTTCCTTTTTGGTTTTGGTTGGCTATCAACTAGAATGTATTTACCAGAACTATTCATAAAGTTATTCATGGAGCAAGGCTGATTGGAAACCTCATCTTGACTTATACTTTAATGATTGCCATGGTAGTAAGAAAGAACTATGGTAAAGAATACATTACCTTTTATCTGCATGATGGAGATCAAAATAGAGTGCTTTGGAATGTTTTAATAGGCCACCCAGAGGGGTTTTCAGATACTGAAATAATTCTTTCAGAACTGTCCTTTTGTGTGGGAGACTTTCATCTGTTGTAGATATACAGAGGTTGCATATGGGCTCTGTCTTTTTTTTTTTTTGCCTTATCTGAATCAACCTACATATTTTAGAGGATGTCACATAGTCTACTGAAAGCTGTTACCTGTGAACTTCATCTGTATAATATGAGAACTATCAGTTGATGCATTTTTCTTGTCTCACTTCCATAACTTGCATTGTTACCTTTGCTCCAGCACAAGTACCGATTTCTTTCTTTCTCTCTCTTTCTTTTCTTTGTTGGTCTTGAACTCTGGGTGGGCTTGAACTCTGGGCCTGGGCACTGTCCCTGAGCTCTTCAGCTCAAGGCTAGTACTCTACTACTTGAGTCACAGCGCCACTTCCAAGTACCAATTTCTTTCTGTAGCTCAAGATGTGAATCTATTTTCCTGCACCAATGGCTATAGTCATGTGGTAAGTTATTCCTTGCTTGACAGAAAGTTCTTTTTCTGGCTCTTCTCTTTCTTAGCACACATAGGGTTACTCTTTTTAAAGAGAGCACAAGCTGACCTCAAATTCACAGTCCTCCTGCCTCAGCCTCCTAAGTTCTGGGACCTCAAGAGTTCAGTACCACATCTGGCTTGAAGAGTTTAGATATTCACTCTGAAAATTTGATCATTTTATTCTATGAAATAGGCTAACAAGAAGAACTTACCAGGAAAAAAATGCATGCAAATTGATTACCACGTAGATACTAGGAACCATACACTAGGAGTATGAGTCACATGCTTCCTTTGAGTATGTGACTCAAAGGAAGAGGTAGACGGTAGAAACTCAAATAGGTGTTGTTTTTGTTGTTGTTGTTGTTTTTGTTGATTGTGGGGTTTGAACATAGAGCCTGGGCACTGTCCCTGAGTTTTATTTGCTCAAGTCTAGCACTCTACCACTTTGAGCCACAACTCCACTTCTGGTTTTCTGGTGGCTAATTGGAGAGAAGAATCTCATAGACTTTCCTGCCTGGGTTAACTCTAAACCTTGATCCTCAGATCTCAACCTCCTGAGTAGCTAGGATTACAGGTGTGAGCTACTGGTGTCTAGACTCAAATAGCATTTTACATAATCTATGAGCAAGGATCAGGTGAATGGTGGTCGGTCACTTTGCATACCTCAATTGTTTCAGTTAGCATAAAAAAATCCACCAGGCTGACAGGAGGACATATGTATGTGGAAGGAACTAAATATTGAGAATTATTTACAGAAAAGAACTAGAATATGAAATTTAGAATATGAATCTAAAATCAAATACATCAGAAAGACTCCATTTTAAGAGAATTATGTTAAACTATTTGCTGGATTAAATAAGACTTTAATATTCTGATTAAAATATTAAATTATTTAATATCTGTTAATGTTAACATAAGACAACCATAATCATAAGAAAACCATTTTCCTCTCAGAGTTTCCCCATCAGGAATCTCAGATAAATTCTCTTCATTGTTTATAAATTACTGAGGTGTGAGGAGTTGAACCTGATCTTAGATCTTTTCTTTTTCTAATGAAAGTTCCTCAGAATGTGTCTCCAAGGGCTGGGCAGCCTTGTTCCTGATGTGATCACTAAATACATGGTAGGAATTACTTTACCTCAATAGACTCACTGAGTATTGTCCTTAAGGATGTAAACTCACGAATTTCACACTGGATTAGATATTCTTAGAAATTAAAGGTGTCAAGCCAATGCTTGAAAAATAGGCTTTGAAACTTTAAATTTATCCTGAGCTACCCTGCTGAGTAAGTTGACACTGACAAGTTTTGATGTTCTATTTTCACAGCAACAGGCTGTGATGTCAGTGAGTTATTTTATCATAGAATTTATCCAAAAAAAGATGTTAGGCTCTGAGGCAGAAAGCTCTGATTTAATTGCATATTATTCAACAATCATTTTCTATAGATAAAAATGGAAATAGAATGAAGCCTCAAAATAACCTCTTATGTGAACTTTTTTTTTTTATTAATAGTTGCCATGGTGTAAAAAAAGCTCCAACACTTTATATGGATGGTATGTATTTTTAAAAAGACATTAAGGACATTCAGCTGTAAGTCAAAGCAAAACTGTTTCCTGCAAAGAAAAGATAAGCTAGGTAATACACATTGTAAAGAAAGCAGCATTAAAGCATCTAAAAGAATTATTAAAATAATAAAAAGTATAATTAGCATAATCATAGAGGAAAATGACCCTAATAGTAGGTTTTTGAAGAGGCAATGTAGATAAA